CTCGTTTTTATTTTCTTTCTTTTTCAAAGTCTGTTCAATTTTTCTTTGTCCGTTTTGCCCAGGTGAGTGACATCCTGTACTCGTCACCTGTTTCCTTCCGTGTTCTGCTTCTCTGTTCGTCAGAAGGAACGGACTGCACGAACATTCATAATAATATCTGAAAGCTTCGCGACTTCTATAAATAAAGTATCAGTAGAACCTGTCCGGACCTAATCTTGTTTTCGTTCCCATAATTTGTTTGGGGGGGGGGATTCGACCACTGAGACCGGATTTGCAGATAGTAGAGATACAGAATGTCTATTAAAAAGTACAGTAATAACGCCATCTTTGCGCCAGTTTCAACAAAATTTTGAACCCGTTTTTCATAGCATTCAACCAAGGGGACGTGAAGTTTGGCAGTATGAAGAAAATCGACGTACGGGTTCGAGAAATACCAGGTTTAAAAAAAAAATTCAACAACATTTGAATAAAACACAAAGCTTTACGACGACATCATATAAATCGGCACTTGCATGGTCTTTTTCATTACTATCGTCCTTGTTTCTCCTCCCCCCCCCCCCTTTATATGTCACTGTCTAATAACACCTCTAATCGTGTGCACTTATATGACTTATTTGTGTTGCGAGTGCCGTAAAACTCTTTCTTAGATCAAAAGTATGTTTGAGTGGATATGTAGCACTTTTCTAGTATGTCCTTTTTTGTACTCGTTTTTTTTCCCTTTTGGGTTGGGGGGGGGGGGGGTACTTGCATTCACATGATATTATTATGTGCCTTTCTGTTTGTCTGTCTATCACACCTTGTTCCTCTTCTCTTCTCTTCTCTTCTCTACTACTCTCCTCTCCTCTCTTTTCTCTTGTCTTCTCTTTATTCTCTCTTCTCTTGTCTTCCCTTCTCTTAACTCTTCTCCTCTACTCTCTTCTATTATCGTCTCTTCTTGTGTCTCTCCGACACCCCCCTCCCTCTCCTCCCCTCTCTGTTTCCCTCTGTCAATCTCTCTGACAGCTGCGCGTGCCGTAGAGTAATACTGTACATACCATTGCCCATGAGTGGAACACGTCATGGCATTAAGTTGTCACGTCTTTGTCTGTCTGTCAGAAAAGTGATTCTCCACGGAGGTCAACGGGCAGTGGAAATAGTAACAGAAATGCCGCAGATCTTGACAATCGTGTTAGGGCGTAATTATTGTAAATACTTGGCAAGCCTCATTAATTATTCTCAGTCCTCAGCTTCCATTTCCTTTGTCACCACCAGCGCTAACAACCTTCTGTGTTGCATTGTTTCGTTTCCAATGCCTTTTAAAAACCCTCCCATCTGCATTTTTGTGCATTTATTGACGCCGGTGGAATGCGCTTTACGGTTTCTCCTTAAACCTTTCTTCCTGTCGTCTTTTAAGTCCCCAAAGGAGCAAAGCCCATAAACAATTCCCCTTCACAGATGTCTGCCCCGTGCAGTTCTCCCCTGTTGTGTTGCTTGTGCCCAGTTTCCTGGCTTCTGCATCTTTCTTTTCTTCGCATGAGTGGCTGGCGAGTGCTCTGATGTGGTTTGCTTCTCCTTTCCCGTCAAAGATCTATCGTCTTTATACTCCTCCTCCTCCTTCTTTTATCTGTACGTTACTCTCAGGTAGTCACACCTCTAATCTCTTCGGCGCTTATATAACCCGTTTATGTTGCAAGTGCCGTAAAACTCGTACTAAAACTATAAAAAGGGCAAAGAAAAAAGAACCCCCCCAAAAAAAAAAAACACACAACAACAACAACCCAAAACAACCCCAACCAAAAAGCTTTCTTCGTTTGAGTGTTCTTGTTCTTCCTCTGACCCCCCC